CAAGGCGATAAATTTGGGAACACAATTAAATAATTTCAAGAACGTTGAAAAGAGATTGAAATCTGAGTTAGGAGATTCGGAGGCCAAGAGGATTTTCTCAAGAGCTGTCTATTTATTTCATATTGGAAGCAACGACTATATTTACCCCTCCTTATTTGCAAATTCTTCAACTTCTCAGTCTAATTCGAAAGAGAGATTACTTGATTTTGTTATCGGTAACATAATCACGGTGATCGAGGTAAAAATCCTACCGAAATTTATCTCAAAAACTGTTTTTCATTTGAATATGAGAGATAGTGTTTCTGTTCTTAGGAAGTGTATAAAATTGGAGGAAGGAAATTTGGATTCTTGAATGTGGGAGCGTATGATTGTGCACCAGCCACATTGATAATAGACAGAACAAATATTGGATCTTGTTTAAAGCCACTCACCGAGCTGATCAATCTACACAACGAGAAGTTTCCTAATGTGTTAAAGCGTCTCGAACGTGAACTATCCGGATTCAAATACGCCCTTCACGACTATCACACTTCTCTATCCGAAAGAATCAACAATCCTACTAAATACGGTAAATAAACTCATATGGTAATTACATGTAATTATGTTATAAGTGATTATATGGTTTGTGCTTTGTTTTTGTTTGAAGGGTTTAAGGAAGGGAAGAAAGCATGTTGTGGGACTGGACCATTGAGGGGAATCAATACGTGTGGAGGTCGAGTTTTGGGACCAGGACAAGGTTACTACGAGTTGTGTGAAAATTTTACGGATTACTTGTTCTTTGATTCGTTTCATTTGACGGAGAAGGCTCATCGACAGATCGCAGAGCTTATCTGGAGCGGATCGTCCAATGTTACTGGACCTTATAATCTCAAAACATTGTTTGAATTGAAGTAGAAATAGTATGTCCTTTTAGTCATGCCCTTATAGGTATGAAAATAAAAGACGAGGTTACTACTATCTTGTCTAGAGTCCTTATAGTCATGTTCTTTGTGTTATTCTACTAAATAATAAGCTTTGATGATTATTGTTTGTGATAATATCAACAAGATCTGATAAAAATAAATTATTGTCACAGTTTTTTAGACCGCAAGAATAAATTGGACATATCTTGCGATACTACGATAAATTAATGACACATCACACATGTATACTTATTGAAGAGATAAAAACATAAATAGAAAAATCAATCTTGAAGAAACATAAAAAGTGAAACATCGACTTAAGGGATTCGAAAGATCAAGCTCGGGATATTTTCTCAACTTTTGGAGACTAGGTGGTACACCGATTGTACTTCTGACGCCTAGTGTATTATCAACTTACTAATCCTATCTCAATAAGCCTAAGAAGGGTATAGACGCCTTTTATTTTCTCAATCTTATGCACCTATGTTAATATACTCCAAGCGCACATTCTTAAATCACATGCGTATATAATAATTTTCTTTTAATTTTATGCCAAGATCTCGTCTAAACAAGACCAAAAAAAAAAAGATGCTTCAAGCCATTCAAAACACTTCGATAAAATTGGAAATTAAACAAAGAGATACATTTAGCAAATGCAACTTTTCTGCATAATGACAAGGTTCGAGTCCGGTTTGATGTTGTAGTCAGCTATGGTGCGAGTGTTTTCGAGCTTCGTTCCATGATAGTTTAGATCCAGCTTGTGCAGTCGTGGTCCACCTTGATCATGGATCATGGTCTTGACTTTCTTAATGGTATCGGACCCTTTCACCTCTAGGTTAAATGTTTTTTCCTTGACACTCGATACAAAAATCCTCATCACTGCATCCGGATCCGGACCTAGACGAAGAACCAATTGACGGGTAGGTCCATGGATCTTTAGGTCGATGGTCTCGGAGCTATCGTCAACTTCTAGTTTTATGCGCTTTCCTTTCACGGTCTCGATAGAAATATGCATTGCACCAATTCACAAGTAAAAAATAAATGTTTTAGAATTGAAGTCTTCTCTCCTTCTCTTTAGGGTTTTGAAAAAAAACCTTTTCTATTCCTTGACATAGAAGACG